TGAAAGACTGGGTAGATGTGTGTAAACCGGATACATACATATTTACAAAAGACACGTGCAAAAGGATTTTCCAGCATCTTTTCTTAAAGAGTTGTCTCGAACAATAATATTCCGATTCTGATCGCGTTTGATTTTCCCTTGCAATGAACGACACCTTGAATTATTGCATTTTACATTATGCCTGTAAATTATAAGTTTACGATTCGCAAAGAAATTTAGTTGGATTTTCATTTTGTCTTTCATAAGATTCTTTAAACGCCCTCAATCGATTTTTATCGTTTTTCCTTCGCGCAATTATTTATGATCACTGATAATTTGCATAGCGTATTATTCGCGTAAAGAGAGACGGGTAAATCAATGGAAAGATTCACGGCACTTTGCGTGCCTCGTAATCATTGCTCAAAGCATAATTGATAATCCGATACTGGAATTTCCAATAATAAATTAAGATCTCATAATACGGTGTCTAGAGTATCGAGACTTCGCAATAGTTGCTCGTCCTTGGAACACCACTGCACTAGCTCTTCGATGGTCACCACGCCGTCCTTATTTGCGTCTATCAACTAAAAATATGCGTAAAACATTATTAATATAACTAATAATTGATAATTGATAATATAAGTAATTAGTATCGTAAATTATCATTGAGAAATTATAATAAGTATTGATTTATGATTAAAACTTATAAAATTTAAAAATCTAATAAATTACTATTACTTATATAACAATTAGATATTTAAAAAAAATTTATTCTCAGAATAAATAATAAATTGTATAATTTGAAAAGTCTCGAAGATTCAAAAAAAAAATTCTGTGTTGATAAAAATTCCTGTCTGACATTTGGATATTTTACTCACATTTTTTATTATTTTTAATTCAGATATATTTTGCTCATCATACACAGGGATGTCATGCTAATACTTACGTGGAAAATGCGATCGACGTGTTCACGAGCGGCCACGTGCGGCTCGAGGATTTGCGGCTGCGTGTAACGACCCAGCATCTCGTAGATGGATCCCACGACGTCCAGCATCTCCTCTTTACTTATCAGACCATCGCCGTCCAGATCGTACAGCCCGAACACCCACTGTAGCTTCTCTTCCACCGATCCCCTCGACACCTTCGACAGTATAGTGAGGAATTCCTATTCAAAAATTTTAAATTTAGTTCCAAACTGTGTTTTCCGAATAACTGGGATGATATATATTCATTCGGTAAGAGTTTAAAGGGTTTGAAATTGTGGAAACACATCCGAGTTTCTCTAAAGCGTTTGTCTTTTTCTCTGCGATATCGCTTACCTCGAAGCTTATCTTGCCCGATGGTTTCCTCTTCATGGTGTTGAAAACATAGTGAGCATACTGACTTGCGTCTAAAACATATGATGATCAGAAAAGACTGATAATAATAATATTAAAAAAAAGTATATATATGATTTTTTCTCAGCAAAGAATTATTCATTTTATAAAGTTTAAAAATTTACGAGAGACCAGAAAATTAAAAATTTATATAAACAAATATTTACTATATGTATAGTTTTCTTTTTAAAATCTAACCATCATGGGAAACTCAACCATTTCAAAAAAGATTCACGTAAATTGTTGAATTTAAGGGAAAAGCGGTATTTCAATATTTTTTTCGAAAGGCTGTAAACTGTCAAAATTCTATTTTGCATTTCACTGTAATAAAATCAATATATTTTCTTTATAATTCAAAATTTGCGAACATAACAAAAAATACTTGTATTTATCAGTGTTAGTGATTGGCATTGGCAACCATCGTCATCATCATCATCATCATCATCATCCCTTCATTACCTCCCTGCGGAAAGAACTGCGAAAAGATTTTCTTGAAAGCATCTTCATTCCTGCTTGAAGCCCCGGTAGATCAGCTGGATCTCCTTCCGCGAGAACCTAGTTGTGGCCGCGAGTGTGGCGAGCTCCTCCGGTCTGTGTCGGCCGCCAAGGGCTACGGCGCCCCCGGAGCTCCCTAAAACGTCCCCGAGTCCTTCAAGTTCTCCTTCTGCAAGTTCGCAAATCTTTCACTCCTAAGACTGCGCCGCGTCTTCGAGATGCTCCCTCTCGCACCCTCCCTCTTGTCAAAGCGCGCAGGGAGAAGGTACCCTTTGATCGAAGGGCTCCAACAACCACTCGTCGCACTCGTGACGAGGGAGGGCGATTCCATTTATTTCTTCTTTTCTACTTGAGTGAGAAAGATATAGAGAGGGTCTATTTTTATTTTTTTATTTTTTCAAGAAATCGTGATCCTAACATCTCTGAAAAAAAGGTAGCTCTACTCTAGGGGACCTACACAGTGCACAGACTTACAGACGGAGAGAAGTCGTGAGAAGCGAGAGACAACAGGGGTGAAGAAAAATCACGGAAGTGGTTCGCATTACACGAGGTCGTTCGTTTTTTCTTTTAATTAAAAGAATCTGTAAATTATATAGTTTGTTAAAAAGGCAAATTAAAAATTTTGACATTTTATATCATCCAGATTTATGAAAATTGAAAGAGATAAAATAATTTCGCATTGTATTATTCATATTTTAATTAATTTTATATAATTTCATAAATAATTTGATATTATCTTAATTTATAAAATTATTTTTGACGGACGACCTTGCGTTTCTGCAGTGCGAGTCGTTGAAGAAGTTTGAGAAAAAATTGTGAGAGAGTTCGAAGAAGATTGCAAGATTACAGTCTTCAAGTTTTGAGAGTGAAGAGAATCCATAGATACGATTTTACGGTGCTGGGTGAATATTTTATTCTATAAAATTTAATCAGAAATGCTTCTTGCAGTACAAAAGTATGCTTTTAATTTTAATTGTAATATATGTGCGTATTTCCACACAATTGATAAAGAGAAATAATATTTTATAAAAGTAATAAACAATTTATATATAACAATTTTGCAAATGCAAGCTATAAAAGAACACTTTATTCTTGATTTCCGTAAAAATCCTCATCGCAATAATGTTAATCAACGAGCTAATTAACTAATACTGTGTATGTTCAATGCTATACTACTAACTAATCAAACAATAATAAAAGCTCACTATCAAAGAGCTTATTATAATTCTAGAAGAAAACTATGATAAAACTATGATATAAAACTATATAACTTTTAAGCATGATACTCTACGATAATATATGGTAGAAAAAATTTAAAAATATCTAAGAATAGAAAATTATATAAAGATACAAAAACGGAGAAATCTATAAAAAAATATGGACATTCAAGTGTTGAGAGATCTACAAACTCAAGAGATGAGAATTTCTAAAATCTACATTTAAAAAATTAAAAACTATAAAAACAAGCTAATCTATCCAATAATCTGAAAAATCGAAAGATTTAAGAAAGATCCAGGGATATAGGTGGAAACTTGCATTGCAAATTTATATCGCCTAATGATTAATGATCATATGTCAAGAATCACTTTCTCCTCTTTCTGATAATGATCATATGTCAAGAATCACTTTCTCTCTCTAAAGAATCGCGACGTTTCGATCATCCTTTACGCATGCTACGACCATTAGCTCTGCTCCCGGGTATCCGGGGTTGCTATGGTAACGTTGCAGCTCCTACCCCGTGCTTCCTGATCACCCCTTCTTTTTGCGAAAGCTGCACGAATATTCGCGAAGATACGCGAAAAAATTTTGCTGCCGAGATAAATTCTTCTAAAGCACAGATTTTCTATCTATAAATAAGATTTTCTATCTATAAAAACAAGATGATCACTAACATTTTATATATGTTACTATTATTTATATAACAAGCAAAAAGTTAGATAAAAAGAATATAAAATTATAATATATTTTCAAATTTTTTAATTATAATAATTTATAATATTTAGTAATTTCAATTTATAATACTTTATAATATTTAATAATTTTACTTTTTTTCTAATTTCTTGATATTATATATATTTTGCTAGGTATTGAATACAATACTATATGTACTATTATATATTGTATATTATATTACTATATATACTAATCATTTTAAACTTGCAAAATAATGCAGAATGCAAGAGAATTTAAGAATCTAAAAGTGCAGAGAGGGAGAGAGAGATTAGCGCTCTCTCTCTCTCTCTCTCTAGATCTTTTTTAAGAAATAAAAATTGAAGAATCTAAAGAATCTAAAGAATCCAAAGAATCTAACAATCTAAAAATCCTAGATCCTATAATATCTTAAAGAAGGAAGACTAAAATTTGAATGTAGAAAAATTTTACAGTTTCAATAAATAATGTAAACAGATAGCGAAGATAGCCAAGTGAAGCAACTAGAAAACTTGAAGATCTAAAAATCTCGAGAAGCTATGAAAATTTATAGATTCAAGGATTATTTAAAATATTTGCTGTAAGGAATCAAGGAATCTAAAAAAAGTTGAAGTATTAAAAATTCAGAGATTTTGATTCCAGAATCTGAAAATACGCTGTAGAAATAGATACACTGATTAGCCGAAGGAGATAAAAGAGAAGCGGACAATTTCACGAGTTTCGAAAGCCAGGATATTTAAACGTCAAAAAGTCCTAAAATCGATAGCAACAAGATCTGAAAGATTAGAGAAAGTGTGGTATCTAAGCATATCACCCGAGAAGGCATCCAAAGACTCGTACCAAGTCGAAAGATATGACCTTTGATACATTAACAGTCCTGGTGCGACAAGGGTTGGACTCAGACCTACGCAAAAATTACCATTCACAGAACACACGGGATTACTATGTACACACGGACAAGACAGACAGACAAACAGGTAAACAGATCAGGCAACCCGTGTCCATAGGGCGAAAGTGGGAGAGGGGTAAAAATGTAAGAAGAGAAGAGAGGACCCATCACTGATCATCGCACCTTGGTGCTGCATTCGGTAGTTATCACCCCCGGCTGGACGCTCTCCGCTGAGTAGTCGATCGACTGGTCCAAGTATCAATGGCTGTGCAAACGTTGTACAAACGTCGAGTATATCGAATGGCCACGCACAAATACGGGACGAGTAAGTAAGAAGAAGGAAGAGCTCGATCTCGGGCAGCAGCCTTTTCTCTCTTTTTTTTTTTTACAGTCGTTCTCGCCTTCCGGACTTACTTTTGTCGCGACTCTTACGCGCCTTCATCGGCCAGCAAGCCCGCACGACACTTCCTGCTTGGCCTGCCCTTGATATATTGGCGGCGGGACGAGATTATCGGGATTCGATTTCACCACCACTGATCTGCGCGACGCATTCCGAGACACGCTTCCCGACGAGGAACTCCGCTCACGCAGGGAGAGCGAGAATGAATCACAACGCAGTTGCGGATGCTGCGCAAGAGTTGACTGCTGTTGCTGCTGTTGCTACTATTACTGGTTGCTGCGGACGCGCCGATGTCACACTGAAGCATCGGAGGGTTCTTGGAGAAAGCGTGTCGCACGTCGTTTTCTCAGCGCGCAAGTGCGACGATCTTCGACAGCTTACGATGGTGACGGTTCAATGAAAACTTCGAGTCACTTGGAACGAAAAGTTTCGAATTAATTCAAATGTTATTATCAAAAAACCGGAATTACGTCTAAAACATTTAAAAAAATCTATAAAAATTTATATTTAAAAATTTAAATTGATAAAAGATGTAAATTTTCCAACTTCTCCCAATGAGAGAAATTTAGCACATCTAGCTAATAAGTTAGACATTGAGAGGACAAGAAATAAATCTAGAAAAAGCTTTGATTTAGCAAGATAGAACTAATTCCTTCCCACCAATTATAGAAAGTTAAAAAATTTTAGTCTGTTTCCACTTTTTTTCTAACTCTAGTTGCCAATTAGACACAAAAGAATTTTTCTAAAATTTTTGAATACCTGATTTTCAATGAGAATTTAGTAAGAAAAGGTAGACGTGCTTGACAAACAAAAAATGAAAACTACGATTGAAATTAAAATTGACGTTGCGGAGAAAGCGATTCTAAGCAGTTAACAACTACGAAAGTCTCTTGAAAGCCTTAAAAGAAAAGTGAAACTCTTGAAACTCTTGAAAGCCTTTTTAAAAGTTACGGAAGCCCCGAAACGTTAAAAGCTTTCGAGAAGCAGTGAAAATTGTATCCCACGAAGCAGAAATGCGGAATACAATGTCGTTGCTGTTTTATTTAAATTTCGGGTTCATTGACGCGTCCAATAATATTATTGAAATAATTTGTCATGAAACGTCAACTCAGCTGACATTTCAATTGTTACCTGTCTCAATCTAAAAATAAATATTTGCCCATTAACAAACGATATAATTATCAAAAAAGGCAATATATGTGACCGACAAGTTATTAAGTTATCAAGCACTCTAATATGTGTATCATGAGAGAATAATAATAAAAACTTCCTTTCTATTCCCCTTAAACTGTAGTTACTAAATTTAGTTCAGCTATTAAATTAATGATTTTTGCAAAAAAATAAGTTCTATATTTTTTCGAAATTTACCAAAATCTAAGCAATGCGATATTTCTTACCAAACATTTAGTATATCAATTCTCTAAGAAGGTAACGCGACGAAGTAAAATGGATCAATCCGCATCGGATTTCTGCAAAAATAGCAGGTTGAGTTATTAATTCACAACATTCTCGCCTTTACGTCACATATCAGAGCATAAAACATCAATATCACCTGGAATTCGTAATTAAAACACTTAAAAATTTCGATATATCTCGATTAGAAATAAACCTCTATGATGTAAATGTATTTATATATTTGCATAAATATTTGAATTTACCTCATTTTTTGAATATTATTTTTGCATCGGTTAATCATTTGTACTAATCACTCTTATTACGTCTATTTTTCTTCGTTTCTCAGCGTACCGTAAACTTCTGTTACACAGTGTACATACGTTTCAATCTCAAACTCGTGTAAATTTTTTACGAGCACTCGGCTCGCGAAGTTCGCGAGTTTTTCCATGTAAACAAACGCGACGTACGAATCGATATGCAAAAGTAGCACGTGCGGGAACTCGAGTTCACTTGCGACGTAGTTTGTCGAGATATGTTTGTAAATATTACTATATTTAATATTTATTATTCTTTCCCGTTTTAATCTTTCTCTCACTGAAAACCATGCACAACACAAATTAATCAGATTTTATAGAAGTGGAATAATCACAACAAAATTCTCCAGCCAAAATGATCGAGTTTAAATTAACTTCTTTCTCCTACGTTTAATCACCATAATCATTATAAATTTTGCATTTTACTACGGAAGAGCTTCAAATTGATAAAGAAAATTAAGTAGCTCATTATCACTATTATCATATCATACGATTATGGCGTACATCGATACAAGTTTCACAGACGGTGGTGACAGAGAGAGAAGCGGCACAAAATTTAATCAAACATGACAATCACTACTCGAAGTCAGCTTTATACTTGATCTATTACCTTTTCTAAATTACAATTCTAGAGGTATTTTCACAGTCGGGATTGGTGATCCGTTTCTTCTGCGATGATCGAAGCAAATTCACCAAATTATCGATCAATAATACAATATTTTGATTTCATAAACCAATCGATCAATAGTTCTATTACCTTTTCTAAATTACAATTCTAGAGGTATTTTCACAGTCGGGATTGGTGCTCCGTTTCTTCTGCGATGATCAAAGCAAATTCACCAAATTATCGATCAATAATATTTTGATTTCATAAACCAATCGATCAATAGCTTCACCGATTGGTCCGGATCGTGCCAATTTAATAAAGTCGCGATCCCACTCTAAGAACGACACTTTATGGCGTTTCGCGCTAAAAGTCAGTCGGCTCGAATTCGAAATCCATTCGGGTGAGCGACGAAGCAGACGAAATTCCGCCATAGCAGCATCATGAATGTCGGCGGTGATATCACGCAATTGTCCTACAAGGAGCTGCAGGCTCTGGCCCTGAGGTATCATATACCGGGTAACGTCAAGGTGAGTTACCATCGTCATCACGATGATGATGCCGTCCCGGTCTGCCCTATTCCTGCTCCTCGTTCATTTTAACTCTATCGTCTGTCATCTTCCGCATGCTCCGGAAGTGGAGCAGGATTAATCCAAATTTCGTCGATCGTGCTCCGATCATGGTGATTGTAATTCAAAGGGTTTGACGTCTTTAACGAAGCTGAAATGCGGTAATCAAAGATTAGCTAAATCTCAGTCTAATTACGGATGCAATTTGGAATGTTACGGGCAATTCTAACCAAGATCCTGATTGCTCTTCAAGTTGTCGACGCAATGTCAGAATCGTCTTTGTCATCGAGAGAGATCGCGCTAATCGCGATTAACGGATATTCGATCCATGACTGTTTGAATGCTATTGTTCGTTTCTATCTACTTGCTCCAAGTAGATATGAATAATCGATGTAAAAGGCTGCTTGTATTTGGCAAATGATTGAACAAGTTTCCTCCCCTCTGTATATCTTCACGATGTGAGAAGGTATGCGAAATTCTAACCAAATTTAACTATAGATTTGCAAGCCTCTTTCACATTCCCAAAATATCAGTTATCAGATTTTCAATTTCGACGAACAATATTTTTAATTTTCGATCCTCTCAGGAATTTCATTCCCTTATTATGCATGATTGTGTCAAGAACATGCCAGTACGCATAAAATATTTCTCGAAGTTTATACTTCCCGAGGATTTCTCCACGTAAAAAAATTTCATTCCATTTCCATTTGGTATTTTTCGGTATTTTATCAAGATTTTTATTGCAGAAGAAAGCGTTGATCAAAGTCCTGCAAGCCGCCAAAAGCGGAAATGAGGCGGAGTTTGGCCGATTACTGCAGGAATTGAGGAAGAGTCGTAAGAGAAAGACGAGGAAGTCGAAAGATTCCAGACTTGGAATAACGTCGACGCCGTTGCATAGTCCAGACTATATGATGACCGATGATGACTATTATTGTCAACAACAGCAACAGCAGCCTCAACAACAGCAGCCTTATCAGTGGGTGAGTTGCTATAAATTTCCATTTGTAATTTGATCATACATTTGATTATAATCGTTCATGATGTGTCAATATAATGTCCATCATATAGATCATATTCTTGTTCTCTTTGCCTTGACTTTTATAAAAGAGTTAACAAATATATTGTGTTACCATACGTTTTCGCGACGCAGCAATCGAGCGGCAATGATTGACTTCGGACAAAGTGCTTCCCATTTTTACAGATTGGCGCCGAGGAGGAGATTGTGAGCAAGGATGACGATACTAAGATCCCGCACTATGAGGAGTTCAAGCAATTTCTACTCAAGAGAATTCAACGGGAATTTCAAACGTGCGACAACAACAACAACAACCAAGTGCAAGATCTGAGTATCGTGAACCTGCGGAGCACACCGATGCCGCCCAATCTGCAAACAGTCCCTCTCGATGAATCGAGTTATTCCAAAGCGAATTTAATCAATCACATGGATCCTTTGGCGATCTCGTCAAATGGCAGGTCGAGCTATGAAATGATAAAGGAGCCCGAAAGCGGCTCGCAAGGTTCGTTTCTGTTAAAGAGAATGCTACAAGCGCCAGTGGGTGCCAATCTGGGCGAAATCGCCAGCTCGATCTTCTGGGCCAGCAATCTGCTGGATAATTCCGATACCCTGACCGCCGAATCGGAGAACAACGAGAATGAAAATCAGCTTGAAACCAACGCCAATGAATACTATGGCTTGCTGAAAAACACCAGAGGCGAGTTTATGCTTAACGAGGCAAACCTGATGTCTCAGCAGATTCCAGCAAGTGCAATGACAGGCGATGAACAGTGCAGATTTTCCGGCGACATGGACAATCGGCCGAATCCCTACCAGAACTGGACGATCACCAGCGTCATGGAGATGCCTGAAAGCGAACTCCAGTCTTCCAAAGTATATCACGCAATCTACTACAACAACACAGATCCCGCCGTGACTACCGCAAATGCGGACAATAATCTAACTTATCAGTATCAGCCTGAAACCGCCTATAACGGCAGCCAAAACTTCTTCAACGTTGACGCGCAGGACGCGTCAAACTATGCGACTGGTACGGACATGATAGTTAACGATCCCAACGATATTTATTATCTGCAAAATTTCGGCAAACACAATGGGGAAATGGGGACAGGTTATTTCCGCAACATGGATACTTTTGGACAAAACAATGCGCAGCAAAATACTTACACGAACGATCAGCAATATCAATACCATTATCCTCGATTTACTCAGGAGACGAACAATACATTAAACGAGAGAATGAACCAGCAGCAAAACAATATTATGACAGGGATGGAAAATGGTATTAATCACGGAACTGATGCGGCGAATATGCAGAGACCAGCGAATGGTGCGCGTTTGTTCTATTAATTTTTCTCACTGTTATAAATAAATAATATAAACATAAAGAGAAAAATAATATGAAAAATACATATAAAAAAATAAAATAAAAAACAAATTTTTATATAAATATATGAGAAATCATATATATATAAAGTTTTCAACCGTGTGTTAAAAAGAGAATATTAAAAAAATACGCACTTTCATGTAAAATTTCTTTTTTATCGATCACTTTCATAAATAATAATTTATCAAAAAACAGATTATATTTTTTGATTCTTGGAGTTTTAATTAAGCGATATTTCGTCAATCAGGAATAGAGCCATACTGGCCGAAGTGGACCACCGAGACCAACAACAATCTAGAGAACATCCTGAACTACCAAATGTCCAAGCAAGTAGATTACTCCAAGTTGAGTCAGACATCCTGCGTTTACTGCTACGTGGCCCCGATCGTCTCGCAGCGATCTACATTAACGAATAATGGCCGCTGTTCAGTTGAACGAAGATATACCGCCGAGCAGCGGCAACACTCCTTTTCGCCCTATTGGATGTTGTACAATGATGCATCGCAGGGTATGCGAATGACAAATATATCCAGCGATTCGTTCGTGCAACATGACACGACGACGACAATGCAAACAACCATTATTCCTGGTAACGACATCCTGAAGGAGATCGTCGGCGACGTTCCCGAGGCTCCCATCAATGATGTGTGGATGAATCAATATGAGTCGTCATCCATCGGCGACGACATGACCATCCCAATTTCGGATTCGCTCTTCTGCAATGACATTTCCAGCGCGTCGAGGAAGACTTAGGGCTCGCTCAACACATTTATGACAGTAAACAGATAATAACTAGATTTTTGTGATTGGAACGAATAACGTTCTCTATAAGTCATAGAATGACGATAAACGGCTGTTTCTCTGGAACGATTAAAATTCTCTCAAGTTATGGAAGGATCTCTGGATCGTTATTATTCCGATTTGGAATTGGAACAACCGAAGTCTCTTTTCATCTTCGCAAACCGCACAATAACACTTAAGTAATTATTTTGCGAGATTCCTATTGGCACAAGATTCATTAACGCGCTCTTCCGCGTTTTCGCATTACTTCCAGTGAGTGACACGCGCAATTATTTTCCCGACTTGAAACTGGAACGAGAACGATATTCGAAGAGAGATCAATAGCAAACAGACAAGTTGAAGCTGAAATCATTTGGGTGATAGATAACCAGATCTATCTCTGAACGTACATTTTTCCAGCTTCGAATCATTGGTTACTTTATTTTGAACAAATATAAACGCTTCAGGATTCAATACCATAAAAATAAAAAAGGGGCAAGGAGCCAATGTGTTCCGTAGATCGGATTCCATATATTATATAAAAAAATAACAAGACAAAAAAATAATGGAAAAAATTATATAGATAAAAATAATTAATAAACAAATAATAAGAGATTCTTATATACACCTTTAATTAGAATATGCAGTGAAACTGCAAAATATATTGTATATTAATATATAATAAACAAATCAAGTTCATGCATAAAAAGATTTACCAAGCGTGCGTTTATAATTTACATACATTTATAGATTCAATAATTATAAAATATATGAGCAAATCAACTGGCGATAAAAATCAAGTCTTAAAAATTTATTGCAAATCCGATGTTAAAAAATTGAAAAAGGCATGATATTTAATATCTGATGCTAAACTTTTTCCGACTCACCCGATATGGAGTCAGACTGAAACTGTGAACGGATGTAATTTTTCAATTTCATAGAAATCGATTCCTTTCTCCGTCCCCCATACGCTCTAATTTCGCTATCCATATCGCTCGAATGTTTTTTCCGCTCCGAAGATCTTCCTGGTGTCACGTGCACACTGTACATTTTCGCTAATATCTCGTTGATTTCTTCTAATAGTCGAAATCTACTGATCCTTCAGGAAAATAATTATATATAATTATCAAATAGATAACATTTTAATCAAAAAAATTCGCCTTTAAAAACTTCAATTATTTAATTTATATGGAAATATTAAAAAATAAATAGAAATAGAATTGGAAAAGTTTTGAATCAAACATAGATATAAGAAATTCTAGGAATTCGTAATTTTACGATATGAATCCTTATAGACTTTTTAAAAATACAATACAAAATATTTGTACGGTACTTTACAGTATAAATTTTCATAAAATTTTGTTTTAATTCATTTATTTACCGCAAGACGCGAAAAGCACTTTGGATTTTCCGAATAAACGGCTGTTTATATATACTACGCTTTTCTTTACTGTAATACGTTTTGTCAGAATTCAAACGAATTTTATGCGTCTCTGAAAATACAAGAGTTTCTTTTTGCCTCAAGAGTCGAGAAGGTGAAATCAGTGGTACGTGTCGGCGCGCCGTTCGCGAAAGACTGCGCTTGAAATGCGTTAAAAGGAAGCAGGTAAATACAGCAGCAGGCAGTCGCCTGTATATATATGCCAAGATATGCATATACAACCGAATTGCATTGGAGTCGCACGCTTTTAATGAGGTGCTTCATAACACGCGGCACTAATTATACGACGGACTTCAAATGCTTTTCTCTGCTTTTCTACTGTAAGAAAGCTTGATTAATTACCCCGTATCTTAATTAACCGTGCTGTCGATTCAGTAAAAATTATTTTGTACAAACAACGAGAATTATATAATCTGTGTATTATTTTGTAGGTAAGTTTCTGCAATAAAACTTGTTCACGATTTTTAAATTTTATTCTGTATAGATACAGAATAAAATAGATATATTGTATATATCAATCAAAAAATGATATATTAATCCCAAAATATATATTGGTTGGTCGTCTAATTTTCTAAGAATATTAAATATTATGCAAAGAGTAAGGAACAAGAGCGCGGGATATATTTATTTCAATACTTGTTACAATAACAATAGCTCGTTTTTATTATGATTATCATAATTAATTATATTTGTATTATGATTATCATAATTAATTATATTTTAGCAAAAGTTTAAGATGTTTGGGAAAACAAGTATAAGCCTACCAAGGTGTTGTCTTCTTTTCTAAATCTATACTCAATTCTCGACGACTGCCGGTTTCTGCGTTTCTTCAAGAGGTGGAACACTCTTTGGAGGATACTCCCCATCATACCAGTTTCCCTTCAAATCTAACGCGCGATTATAATCGATGATATTCGTCAGGCACTCTTCGATCGCCGCATCCACGTTCTCTGCGGTGATGAATGTGAGAGATTCCTCCTTAACCTTTCTAATGTGTTCGTCGATATAATTCCTCCGTTCCTCCTCCTGCTTCTCTTGCTGTAGCAATTTCTGCAGAATAGACTCCTTGCGTTTCTCTCTCATGTTCGCCAATCTATCTTCTCGTATTTTTGCCACCTCTGCATTCCATTCGTCATTTATCACACTGCATGCCTGGAAATCCTCCTTTTCAGCTTGCTCGATAACCGTGTGGTCATATTGCACCTCATTCTCCTTTGCAACTTGTACCAAATATGCTCTGAAATACATTACCTGTTAATTTAAAACTAGTACTAAAACAAGATCTATATTCAGACTTTTAAATGTTTTATTAGCCAAAGATCCAAAAATATAATAAGAGAAATAATCTCAGAATTATTAAGTCACATTATGCATATATATATATATATATGTGTGTGTGTGTACATATGTATAAATACCTAAGCGATGTTATATATGTTCTGTAATTATTATATAAACGCTGAGCCTCCAGATGCTCTTCTACAGGTATGACAGGCTTCTTTGGTACTCGAAATACTTTGGATTTTGCTGTAGGCATCCAAAGTGGCTTTCTTTTCCAACGTACGCATTGTGTATAGACAGAATTTGGGACAAAGGTCTCGCAGAATCCTGTAACGCCTATTGTCAGATTGTTGACATTCATTATCCTCATGGTCTGCATCATATTTGGCGCTGCAAAAAATTTATTTATGAAAATTATTACCATATCACCTGTTATTATCCGTACGACAGTATATTATTTTCTTATATACGTAAACCATGTTAAATTAATCATATTTAATAATCATATTTATTTTTACACTATCACTATTCTGTTAATAGATATCTAAAAATTTCTTTAAATAAAATGAAATTTAACACAATTTAATATTGCAAAAAACGCTTTTTATAAACATGTTCAAATGAAAACATGGGAAAGATGCAAACAGTGTTTTATAAAAGAACTTGACATAATAATACTATGACAATAACAATTAAATAATAAGTTACCATAATATGTCATCAAAAATTAAAATAAATCTCTCCTCGTTCCGTCGTGTTTCTCTTTTGGCTATGTTATTCTTTTATAACTTCTCTCTCTGACAAGTGAGGTTATAACGTCTTTCTGCGCTCTGATTTGTCGAGCGTCCATGGCGGGCGCATTTGAGATGCTGCGTTTAAATGTTTGAGAATCGCGCCGTAATTTTGATAATCGTATAAGTATTTTTTGACAAATATATAATTAAATATTAAATATAATTAAATATATAATTAAATATAAAAGAAATTTCTTCGACAAAGAAAGAATATCTGAACATAGCAGAAACATTCGCGCGCGATGGGAAGAAATAATTATAATTTATAGAATATGTTTATTGAAAATGATCGTGTATAATGCGACGTATCTATAATATACAACAACAAAAAAAAATTTCTGCGAAACACATTCGCTCAAGCTCTTTCTCTCTCTCTCTCTCTCTCTCTGCGTTTTTCTCTCTCTTTTTCTTTTTCCTTCGAAACAATAAAATAGTGCTCGCACTATATATTAATTATCCTAATTATAATATTAATAATGCATATTTAATTATCCTCATCACCACGCAATACGACAATATGCATTCAAAACATAAACACGGATAAATCTTATCTCAACAATCGTTCTAAAAGTATTATCGCCGTACATGGTTATTATATCGTTATTGTTTTTTTTTCTTTTTTTTTGTTATGATTTTTTACAAATATGCCTAAACGCCGTAGAAATCACTTAAAATATATCTGCATCGACGATAATCACAGATATTAATTTGTATCTATACAATCTTGTTCTTTTTCTTTATTTTCTCTCTTTATTACGCCATTCGTGGATCAAACTTAATTGTACTGTTAATTAAGATCCATTACAAATCGAATGGGATTGCGATGTAATATAATTTTACCTGCATATCGTAATTAACGGAAATAGTTACGTAAGGATGATCATATCTCACATCCGAGTATTCCGAAAAATTCACAGAGACTTTAATTGGCCAAAAAAGCACTTTTTAATGTTTTTAATTATTTCGTTAATTATTTGCATAAGAATTTTTGTTGATGTACCACATTCTCTGTACGTTTCTTTCGGAACACCCATATTGAAATCTCATGTGTTCTCTATACTCATATGTGTTATATATATTTTTAACGTTTTATAACATTATATCGTCGGGGTATCTTTGGCTTAGACGCAGACAGTTTATGTTGTTTGTCTCTCGCAGAAACGTAAGGGGAGAAAAGATCTATTTTGTAATAATGTTTAATGAAGATATCATTGAAAGTAATAAATATGTTTTGTAATTTTCGTCTCCATGACTTTGATATTGAAGGGCTCTAGACAGTACCATGTCAAACTTTGTTCAGATGATAAAAAAGTGTATGGAAAACATGGAAAAATTATATTTAGAGAGAGCACAAAGATAATCTTTATGATAATATTTATGATACTTTAACATCTCGTGATCTTCTGATGTAAAATCTTATATTTAAAAAGAGACTACATTCATCCAATAGCAAAATTCACAAAATTTGCATTACAAGTTGGCAGTCTTTCATATATAAGAGGGCGACTATTAAAGATCTAAAAATATTACTATATGGATCGACTTATTATTTATATTTAAATGTCATTATCAATGTGAATATTTCAATTACTAAATAATAAGTAAATTATTAATCTAAGTTAAAGTATTTAGTATGTCAATGAGCCCTTCAATCATTAATTTAGGAGATTCCTATCATTTGCATCACATAGGCTTACATGATTTAATGTGTATATTAAAAAAATGTGTGGCTTGTTTCAAATCGCTTGTTTGAGAACTTTAATTTCGTTCTATGCTCTATCAGGTCGTATCTAAGCATTACAAGGTGATCGGATTATCATTAGAAATTGGATTACTATTTATGTTAGAACCACGGAATTTAAAAGATCATAGAACCTTCGCAATCTTAGATTCCTAGATTCTCTCTCGAAAACATATATTCTAAAACCTCAGTGCCTCGTTCATAGATTTTTATATTCTTATAATCGTCGAACTCTGAACTTTTTAGCTTCTTAGACCTATGGATACCTCGAAATATTATATTGTGGTTGTGAAATCTAGATTCTTAGATCAGCGGTAGTTTAGGTTCTTGAATCCACGCGTTTAATCGCTCTGGAATTAAAAATACAGTCTTGTAAAAAGTCCTAAGTTTTATATCTGTTCTTATATGCATGAAAATGATGGCACATGTGTTTCTAGCTTGGCTGTAAGCAAGAATCTCTTGTCGACAATATACTTGAGCTGTGTGTACATTTCATTGGTCGATCAAAGGAAGGCATTATACATATTAGTGCACAGAATGTGTCCCGCGATTAGCGAATTATTTCCTTTTAATCATAGATTTCTCAACGAATCTTCAAAATCATTAAAAAATTAATTATTGAAAAATAATACGGTAGTCGTTGGACAATTTTCATAAGAGTGCAGATTCCCTCGAACTTAGCTTAAACGGTAACGTTTAATCTTCGTCTCCTCATCTCAAATAATTCTCCCCAAGTTATGAAAAATTCATTCATTCGCAACACGAAGACTGAATTACAACAAAGAAGCAGCAAATACTATTGTATTATAAACAAGTTTCATTAAACATCTTTCTCTATCCTTCCTTTTTTCGCATACATAATCAATTAAAATAAAATACACATATACTGAATATATATGTACAAGGTAAAACAAGGATATCATCTCTGATAGTTTTAAGATACCTTGTACATGCATATCATCCAATTTGGTCAATTCTCTTCCTTTCTTTCTCTATTTTCTTAAATCAATTTCTCTGTATCCTATTATTAAATGTATATTGTAAGAATATTTTGTACGACTACATATTTCTTTTTTTAGTAAAATAGTTGGTAAACAGTAGGTATAATTATTCAACAAGTACTACGTTGTAATAGTAATAACATCCTGCGGTTGATTAGAAAAGATACACAACTGAATCTATTCGTTTGAATTAAATTCAATTTACTTCTGATTTTTTATCAATGTAATATATATATAAGAAATACAGATTCTCTATTATAATTTCATCCTTCCATCATAAAACTTTCGATTTTTTTCTCATTTACAGATTCTTTTAAATTTTAGTTTCTGGATATATATATATAAGTATCCATTTTAATATTCCACAATGTATATGTTATTTTCCCGAATAGCTCTCAATCTTTTCTCTCCAACAACCGCAGTAATAATAATAATAATATTAATAATATAATGATATTGTAATTAATAATAACCAAGAAATTAAAAGATTTTATTTGACGAAACAAAGAAATAAGAAAGAAGAACAAGAATGCTTATTAAAACTTCAAAATCTCTATGTAAAATAGTTTTTGGTTATAAATTGTAAAACAGATAATAAACAAATTATATTCATTCATAATAAACAAATAATTTTAACGTCACTGTACCAAATTTCTGCCAACGCTATATAATTATATCTATAAATTGTGATAAATATATGTTCTAAATCTATAATATTCTCACAAATCAAAAAAATGATGTCACAATATCTCCTCTATTTAAATTTAAATACAAAAAGTTTATCATTATGAAGTATTATGACTGTGTGTGAATAATTCTTATAAATTATCTATATTTGCTACTTGGCAGAAATGTATTACTGTGTATTTAGAGAAAATCTCCCTACTGTATACATGTGCATAAAGATAATTCTTATATCTAGGATTCTTACATCTTTGGATCTTTAGATCCTCAGATTTCAAGATTCCTGGATTCTGAGATCCCTGGGGTCCAAGATTTCTGGATTCCTAGATCCTTGGACTTCTATATCGGGATTCTCAGATTCTAATTCATTAAGTTTCATCAAAATTCGAAATCATCAAAGAAAAAAATATTCATTCTTTTCTCTTTAAATGTAAAAATGTTAAAACACTTTTTTATCTTAATCCAGGAATCCAGAAATGTAAGACTTTTTATCTGATATAAATATTGAGCTTAACATTTGCGATAAGTAATAATAAGTGTGTAGACAATGGTTTTCACTTATCTTATAAAGCTAATCTCAAAGAACAGGATCGTGACTATATAACGGTTCCGAAACTTGTATCACTGAGTCTAGCGGACTGCGTGTCGCCGGAGGAATTTCCTCATTTCGCGTGCCTAGCAAAATAGAAGACCGTCAATCTATTTTATTCTGTTCCTTTGTCGGTGAAACGTGTCGTGTCGCCTCTTTCCGTAAAAAATTACATCTCGTAAATAAAAATAACGTTTCTTTCGCTTTTGTACGTTGATGATAGTGCAAGGCCGTGGCACATGTTTTATTCTACAGCAGGGGTTCTCAAACCTGAAGAACTTTCAAAGCTAGAAGGAAAAAAAATAGAGAATAAGGATGTTTTCAGAGGAACAAGGTTTTTAGTATACTTTGTTAAATGGCACCATAGAATGATTCAAAGATATTATCAAACTTTCAAAAAATCTAGCATAATTGAAATTTTTTCCACCATACACAAACTAAATCAATTTTTGAAATTCCATCAGAGTGGAATATGTGATAAATTATTGAATTGTATTATTACAGGATTCATATACTTATATATATTAATCCTTGATAAAACAGATTCAAAAACTTATATTTTTAAATGCAATGCATATATGCAATGAAAGATGTAACTTTTCACTTCAGAAATAAAAATTTGATATATTCAAATCACAAGTATTAATGCAAATGTATTATTATATAAACCTAGATAAAACTTAAAATAAAATGTTAATCTTTTATTGTAATTAGAAAAATCCCTAATTTGACATATATAAAATTAAATTTTTGCATACATAAAAAATTAAATGTATAAAATAATAAATCATTTATATGCACCAACATCTGCAATATGATTTATATTGATCTTTTTCCCTCCCTGTTTAATTGTTTAACAAAAGTTACTAGCAAATAAGAAACTAATTAATAAAGACGAGAACAGTTGTAAGCCTTACTTTGTACATTCTACGATAAAATATACAAATATATAAAATATATACATAGTTTTCAGAAAACACACAGGTTCCATCTATGGACCATCTGCAACATAAACGCTAGAAAGTTTGGGAACCCCTGTCCTACACAGATTATTATATATCACGAGTTGTTAAATATATAAATAACTTCCGCAAGCTCTCTCCGAGCTTTCTATGGCCGAATTTCACGTCTCAATTATTTGATCATTCCCATCTGATGAATTTGGTTCGTCCGGTTTGTTCACTCGCGTTCTTAAGCTGAAATTACTCGAATGATCATTCAGAAAATGTTTGTTACACTTGCACACTTCATTCAAACATTATGATGCTTTTTTCATTTTTCATAATTCGAACTGATGGAATTATTCGATCGCTCGTGGTCCATCAATTGGCATCGTGTGCAACACCTCGTCCAGCAATTGAAGCGCTCGATGTAAATGCACCTAGGAAATAAATGAGAAATATTAAAAAAAAAAAATATATATATATATATACACATACATATAAAATATTACATATAAAGTCGTATTAAATTCTTTTAATTATTTAAAAATAGAATTTTAAGAAAATATGTATATAATAATAAATATGTAAAAAAGTTTGATAAGGAAAAAATCAATAAAAATAATAAATTCAATACTTGCAAAACTAGAAAGAATTTAATTATAAATTCAAAGACATCCTCTCCTGTACTGCTGGTTTCTAATGTTTTTATTAAATTGTATTGAGATTTTCACTCTTTTTGTCATTCATTTATAAAAATAGATTCGTGAAATAAAATTATAAAACAAACCTCGATCCAGCACGGTGTTTCTTTTATACTTTGTCGCGGGTAGTCTGGACCCCATCCCTTAACAAAACTCAAACGTAGAATACAGAGCCTTCGTAAATCGTCGACTCCAATTCCCGCAGCCGCGCTGATACCTGAGTAATAATTGTATTTTATTTATACACATTACATTGCAAAAATGTATTTAACTATACGTTATTAAAATTGCGTTATTAATAAATGCTCGCGTTTTTAGATTCTCTGGATTATCCATTGGCTTACTTTTGGCGATAGGCCCTCCATGAGTGAGATGACCCGCGACGGCTGCGGCTTGCGCCGCTGCGGCAGCCTGAGCAGTGGCGGCTTGGCCTCGCATTTGTTTGTGACACTGTCTTAGATCGAAAACTTTAATATATGCCGACGGATAAATTTTATGTACTGCGTCACCAGGTGCCCGACCCGCCTCTCTGTCCAGATAATAAGATTGTACAAAGACGCTGTGCTCGCTTTGACATCTCAACCAAACGTCGCCTTCACCTCTTAAATCCAGCACAACGCCTTTTCCTAAAATTTATTTTAATTGAAAATTTTTTCGCAATATTTGTCTAAAAATTATTATTACTATAAGAGTGATAATTACCTATGTGAAGACGCGCTCTCTCGCTTTGTTCCGTCCTATGCACGTTGCTCAAGGCACCTAAGCAAAATCTGTTTCCACCGCTCGGATCCACGTAGCCGTCCACGGTGACTGTGGGACAACCGCTGCTAACTTTAAACGTCTCTCCGACTTGGATGTCCAACTCAAAGTAACCCACGGAGCACCAATATTCCGGCGCTGGTTGCGTGGAAAGCAATCCTCCGATATTTCCACTAACGTCATTTCCATGGCCTCCCCCTATATTCAAATATTAGATTTGATTCTTGAAAGTTATATTATTTAACTCCAAAGCAGGAAACTCTTCTTAACGTAATCAACTTACAGTACGACGCCGTATGAAGATGTCGAGGGTCCGGCGGCTGCATACTTTGAGTATACGTGAGAGTATTGGCGCCGGTCCACTGCGGCGCCCCGGAATTGTATGGTGCTGTGCCTACGGGAAATCCATTCGGATGATGAAGATGTACAGGCGACACGGGTGAGCTTTGTCCTTCACCTATTTAAGTAAAGAAACAAGTGATCCAATATAATACGGAAAAATGTCAAAAATATTTTATACTAAAAAAAAAAAAATTAGAAAAATTCAGATTTGATATCCTTGTGGAATCTGTGTTTAAAAGGATATAGTGATTCTCTGTGTTGGTCTAATTGGTGAGTGCGCTACACACGTTTTATGTACCTAAAGAGGCTGCTAACGCATCAACGGTAGGAGGTTGATTGATGTCTTGCGGGGGTGTGTTGGTGCCGTAGAACGTATCGGCAGTCGACTGTCCCTGCGCGGGACTCAGGATCTGCGCGCCGGACGTTCCGCTGGACGCGGCGTTCAGCGATTGTTGTTGGCTACCTACGGTGTGACTCATTGGATGTATTACTGCTGTAAAATTAAAATTCATACACGATGCAGGCAACATAAAATATTAAAAAGACGCAAACGTGGCCTTCGCTGTAACTGTTTTCAAATTATCCGTTCGCATGCGAACTGGTACTTCCCAAGAAGATGATATTCTAATAACTTGATTTTTAGATTCCAGGATATTAATGAGAGTACTCCGATCTCACAAATCTTAAATTCTTTATAAATTATAATTTCATTATCATTTTGAATATATCATATATATACATAATATATTTGCAAATACAAAATAACCAAAATGTCAATTATTATTATTACACATGTGACATTGATGTTTTTATTTTTCTTCATTTTGATTAATGGCTAAAATGCCATTTTAGATAATCCTTGCATTTGCTTCAGAATGTTTAAATTCAAAGTTTACTTTTTGCATTCACAATACAAACACTTCTATAATTAATTTCGGAAACTCTGATCCATAAATCTAAGAATCACAAATAATGCATACTGGCAACACACTAGCAAAGGCTAATCAGCAACATGTAATTGAAAGCTTCTTGAATAATAAGGCTGTGTACAATAAAATACGTACGATGATGCATGTTACGGCCTGCCGAGTGATGAGATGTGGGAATCCAGGTTTGCCTGGGGCAATTATTGTCGTCCAGTTTAGCATGGGGATTACCATTATTGCCACTCCCACCGGCACTAAACATACCCTCAGTACTCGCTGTGCCGAACAATCAAAAGGAAAAGAAAACAATGAAGCCAAAAACAAAAATCGAATTACGCAACAAAAGGAAGAAGGTTGCGAAGCAAATTCTTGCCTGCTACAGTCTACATTCGATAGCAGTAACGAAAGCAGTCGGCGAGTTAGCAATTAATTTAATAATTAACAATCGCATATCGAGAGCGCCAAATTTGTAGCTTGTATGTTTTAGCACAGTTGGAGATATTCACATAAATTTTCCTATAATAGAATCATCACATGTCGAATTTTCCTTTCATCAGATTAATAAAAGAGATTTATTAATATTCCCTTTAAAATAAAGGGGTGTATCCACATGTGTCAATATTGCATTGATTCATTAAAGTGTACTACCATCTATTGTGACTAGACATTAATTGCAGACAAATTTACGCTATGTAAAGCCAATTGATCGAAATTTTGATAAAGTAAAAGCTTCAGAAGAGATGAAAAAAAGATCATCTAACATTCAACTTACTTGGATTGGGAGTTGGTAAGCCTGGTATAAACCCTTGCTGGGCCTGTTGAGCGTTGTTCGAAGCGGTCGGCTGAGGAGCCGGTGGATGGTGCTGAATAGTCTGATTCATTTCGCTGTCCACGTCCATCGCGGATCCAACGGCGGCCGCGGCCGCTGCGGCGGCGGTACCTCCACCGCCGACCGTGTACTCATCCTTGACCAATCTGCCACCAGGTCCCACACCCACACCGGATTGCAGAGTCAATCCGGACAGGTCTGTAAAGAACGGGTCTGTGCGGGGGAAACCAACCCATTCCATCAAGACATCAAGAAGACCACAATAATCAATAATTTGCTCTATAGCATTCTCTGTGTTCATTAACGAACCTTAGGATGCATGATTTTATTTTATCTCTTTGGATAATTATAATCAAGAACTATTTGAAATAAGCAAAACTGAATGATAATGATCAAAGCAAAAGTAAAAAAATAATATTGCAGGGAAGAAGCAAAAATTAGATGCGCATATGTGAGGGATATAAATGCTAGACATGAAAATAAATTATTATATGCGAGTTATCGCACATACCTATGCCGGGCGACACCACTCGTTCATAATGATAGGGATTCACACATACGGAATCGCACTTCAAATCGAAAGCGAACTGGCAGTATTTTACGTGTTTCAGTTCGTTCTTGTGCAAATCCGGCCATCTCCAAATGCGAGCATAGATTACGTGCGGGAAACCCTTGCGTCCTGCCACTTGCAATCTGCCATCGAGAGTTCTCTGGATGGTGACGCATTTGCTGGGATGTGCTCCATTAGTAGTTATTGCAGTGATTAAACTGTCCAACTCGTCGCGCTTCTCCTGTTAATTAAATTTTTCCATTAATCAAATTTTATTGTACATTGATCTCGTTACAATCTCAAATAGTAAAATTATTAAAAATTACAGTCTACATGAGCTTAATTTTTACAGCATAAAAGTATTATTCTTTCTTTTTTTTAATTTTGTATACATTAATGTATTAGCAACATAGGCAACATGTATATATGGGATTTACTTTGAGTTTCTTCACTAGCGATTCAATCGCACGTTTGCTGAAGCCTTCACTTTCACCACCTTGACGATGACACATCAACGAATGCACAATGCTCAAGCAAGCGTCAGCACTGGTTGGTGCACTGGGTGCAATCCCAGTCATTTCTCTTACTGTATTTCAAATTACATATATATAACACATATATTAATTGAAATAAATAATGCCGAGATACTATTTTTCTTTAATGACTTATATAAAGTACAATGGTTCCATTTTAAAACTCTCTTCTTTCTGAACAGTATAATATATAAGATAAAACTATTAAAAAATCTAAAGAATCAAAATCATTAAAATTTGTTAAATTAAGTGTTTAGGTAGATGAATATACAGATAACAATTTATCAAATATAATAAATAATACTAACGAATAGAAAGAAATATAAGCGTGCGAAAGCAAAACTAATGGTGCACTTACGAGCAAGTCGAAAGATATAAGCCAGATTAACCAAAGTAAAGTGTATAAAATCCTAAATATATGCAAAAAAAAAATATATATATATATATATATAACAAATATATTACTAAGATACTTACGCTCTGGATTGGATTGCATGGGGGGCGAGGGATACAAATGACCTCCCCCGCCCGCCAATCCAACCATCTCTGTAAAAGCCGTGGTGGATACTGCCGTTCTTCCCACAAATCAATAGCCTTTCCTTTGGACTTGACACAGTCCAATCTTTCACACTCTATCATCTAGTGATAGTATTTCATCCATGCATCACAGTCCGCTTTCCTGTAAGCAAATCTATTTATTTTTTATCATACGTAATTTTCTAATCTAATCTATATCGCAACTCTATAACTGCGTAAAAGCAATTATTCCATTTTGTATAGCATGAAAGAAACAAAAAATCCAACATCGCAACAGTTATACTTTGACTGATTTCAATGTTTTATTTGCCTTATCATATTATCTTCAATAATCATTTAATAATCATTGAAGATTAAAATACCAAAAATCAAGTGTGGCAGCGGCAAACATTCCTTTGTTTACCTAGCATCAGTAGACACTTCAATCATATAATTCCATCAATCATCATTGATGCTCGTCGGTTCATGACAATAAATTACGAAAAAAGCAGCAAAAATAACGCGATGGGACTTACATTCCAGCAGAAGCGTGCACGCGACAGAAGGAGGGAAAACGAGTTCACGATGTTCGCGGGAAACATGTACGCGGGTGATCGTGAGACATCGGCGACTTCGTCAACAGAGCGCGAGACAGCCTCCCACGGCGGCGGGTGACGCACGATGACAGTTGAGCGCGAGGAGACGCTCGCGTTTGCCGAGCGTCGTCGGATCCGGCGGTTTTGCAACGTGCTCGGTCACGAGCGGAGGAACGATAGCACCACGTTCGCGGATGCGAGACGCGCGGTAGATCAGTATCACGTTGCGGAATTCGCGAAGATTCCTTGCACCGTCTCGCATAGGTTAGCGCATCAATAATACATATCCGCGGGGCGCGGATAATATCGCTGCGAGCAATGTGACCAACCCAGCGATGATAAAGGATGCGTTCGGAAATTCTACCCGTAGATAAAGCAGCGTTAAATTGACCAATCAGGACAGAGGGATTAAAGGTTTCTTTGTCCTCATTGGTCCATTATAGGATTTTCAAACTTAAAGTAGATCAGACATCGGCGGGAATTTAATGCCGCTGTAATTAAGATTTGAATTATAAATTGCATTCGGCAAAAAAGAAATTGACATTATAATTGAATTTCTTCTGTAGTTGAAATTATAGATGAGCTAAAATAAAAACATAGGGAATTGCTAGAATAATTTTACTTAAGAACGAGATTATATATTTGTAACTTATTCCTCTATTGTATATAATCACATAGGCATTGTTTTATTGCATAATTTGTCATCTTAATCTTACATAATCATAAGAAAATTATTTTAAAAATATGACCTGTTGAATGTCTTTCTGTTTAAACATTCATCTTACAAGTGGGGGTGTAACTCAGTGGTAGAGTGTCTGCTTCGCATGCTGAAAGTCCTGGGTTCAAATCCCAGCTCCTCCAAATCTTTATTTTTGTCTTTCATTATGGTTGGAGGGAAAGTAATGTCGTTGTAACTTTCTTACTTTTACTTTTTTTGCTTTTAATAAAACACACTAAAATCATCTATTGAAAAAATACGATATTACTTTCCCCTTCCAATCCAATATTATATATCAACTAATACATAATTTGAGATATTAATTATATTCAAATTTCTTTTTTGATTCAAAAAGTTTTAGATTCGATATGTCGTGTAAATGTCTTCTCTTTCTCTTTCTCTCTCTCTCTCTCTCTCTCTCTTTCTCTTTCTAGTCGATTCGCATTTGAACACTGTGATTCCAAATACTTATATGAATTGCAAATCATATAATTATAATTTAATTATAATTTTTTCTACAAATCATATAAATATAATCAAATTTCGCATTGTTACTTTGGCAAAATTTACATCGCGAATTATTAAAAGTAAAAAAAATATTAAATAATAATAATTCAAACTCGCGCGCGATATATATATATATAAATAATATTAATAAATTATATTATACAACCATAAGATACATAGACAGTGCATTAACTTGCCGATATATGGGCAAGAGAGAGTTTAGAGATTTTATTATTATTATTTTTATTTTATTTCGACGATATATTCATATCTCCGATCATATTTCCATATAGAAGAATTTTTTTGGGCCCTTCGGAAAACGCGCGATAGCATAATATGACGCAATCAGGTGAACGCACCAATAAATGCATCTGAATGCATCACGTGACCTTCGATTTGTTAATTTTCGATCAGTTCACATCGAGCATCCCCGGCGTCGCGATCGATCTCGATTACTCCGTGTTCGCGCGACATTTTACCCGGTGCGGATGGAGTATCGCGGACGGACGAGTGTCGGGAGTGTCGAATTTAGTGACGGACGATCGTCTGAGGGGCGTAATATTAATCGCGATCGCGATGCGCGAGATTCTCAATCTTCGCAGTGGCGGTTGCTCGTTGCGTCCCGTTCCCTGGCCGGGACTCCACTTTGGAATCCGCAAGTCGTGCGCGTATCTCGTCGTCATCGGATGCGGATGACATCCAGCATCCGCGGCGGGATATCTATCGAGGAGCATCAACGGGAGCTACGGGCTTGAGAGATGGAGCATCGCGACAATCTACCCAACTGGTAGTTGCCGCTTGAGATATTGAGATATTCCGCCATGACACTTTTTGAATTTTCGACGAGTCTCCGTGAAACCGCGCTCCCGCCGATTTATCTATTTCGGCCGATTTTCGCGCGCATGCGCGACGTCACGAGTGTCATCCAGCATCCGCGGCATCGAGGAGCGTCGAGGGAGCGTCGAGGGATGGATTGCTACGATGGATTTGTCGAGGGGAATATACGGTGGTGCCGCTTGAGATATTTCCGCCATGACACTTTTCAAATTTCCGTTACTGGTCAATTCGCGTCTCCTTCATCGGTCGAATTTCGCGTACGAACGAGTGTCGGGGGAGTGTCGTGTCTAAGGACGGACTGTTATCTCGTAGCGTTAATTAATCCGCGCGATCATGATTTTCGATTTTCGTTGTTCGGTGGTGCTTAGTCTTAGATTAATAATCTAGGACTCTAGTGGTACTCGTCGCTTCGCATTTCGATGCCGGGATCCATTTTCGAATCCGCGAAGTTTCGTTCGTTTGCTCGTCCGCCGAGCGTCGCGAGTGTCACGTGGCATCCGTAACGTCGCGAGTGTCACGTGGCATCCGTAGCGTCGCGAGTGTCACGTGGCATCCGTAGCGTCGAGGAGCGTTGACAGATGGAGCATCGGAGGGTGGATGGATGGCCGGGACGGATGACAGATTCGTCGAGGCGGACGATACGGAGTGGCCTTGCTTGAGATATTGACATATTCCGCGATGACATTTTTCAAATTTCCTTTATCCGTTCCGGGTATCGAATTTCGTGTGCCGGGAGTGCCGAATAAATAAACGGCCGATCGTTTTAGAGTGTTAATTAAATCCGTGTGACATTGAGTATATTCGCGAGTGATATCGATCGCGTTCAAGTGGATCGCTGTCTATTCAAAAAATTCGAATGTGCTCATCGTAGAAATATCATCGTAACTATATCAAGGACACGGATGGGATCATTACAACGGAGGCAGGAGATTGCTTCTCGTCTACGATATTTGGCTGACGTGATGATGGTGAGTGTTTATATATATTTCCTTAACTAATATAATATATATTAAATTTGTATTTTTCGTTATTTTGAAAAATTGCTTTTAAAGTTAATATATAATATTAAAATTAA